TGGAACCATTATGTTGTAGTATTAGGTAGTATGTGGTGATATTTACTTGATTTGGGTGACATAGGGAGGCAAAAAGAACAGCCAGACATCTAAATCACACTTGAAGTACATTGCACACGATATATCTCACTAGTTTTGAAAAATATCCCAAGTAATATGCTCATTTGGAACCATTATGTTGTAGTATTAGGTAGTATGTGGTGATATTGGCGTGGTATTCGGGTGGTATTAGGTAGTATTGTAGTATTGGGTAGTATTGGGTAAATCGTCCCGCCGTCTCTACCTACTATTGTAGGATTTTATTTTAAGCCATATAGCCGCCCGCTAGAAACGCTTTTGTATGACACATATTACCGACCACAGTGTAGCGCATACACAAAACTATTTAGCTCTATATATAGTTGCCCACTTTAAAGGAGCTAAATCGCTAATATTTGGGACCTAGAAATTGACCCAAATGGGTCGCAACGCATATAATAATGTAAACTGATTTACATTCAATTGTTTCCGTTAATTTCAAATCAGTTATGTCCAGCGAAATACGGCATGAGTCTCAACTGAATAGCAATATCTAGCGCCTGGTTATTCCAGTGTATTGCGCATGCTCTCCATGCATGACGTCACCGTTTGACGTTGGTTGTGGAATATGTCTAGCGTCGTTCTTTCTGGTCACTTGTTACAGATGACGCCGAAACTGGAAAAATGTTTATTTTGTCTTAAATAATGGATATCAGAAGCCTACCGTTTCCTGGTAAAATCACAATATCAGTGTTGATTTGAATTGACAAACAATTCGTATTTATAACATGCAAGACTTTGGATGATATTGAGTTAGAGACTTAGCTACTTTAAATGTCTTTACAATGCAACGAAAAATAAGATGGCCACTAAAGTGCCGCACACACTTCTGCAAACTGCGCCCCCCCCCCCCCCCCCCAACAAGATTGTCTTCTATGGTTGGATGGTCGAATCGTGTGCGCGACGTATCATAAGGTTTCCCATTGAGACAACTGGCGTGGTTTGAAAGTGCCAAAGACCCCTACGCGCAAGCAAATTACTGAAATAAAATTGAACCATATGTTAGTCCCGAAATAACCAAGTTTGTTTCGAATGGACGTTAAACTCTCTCGCTCTCTCTCTCTCTCTCTCTCTCTCTCACTTAATGGAGAATGTTTTATTTTAACGAAAGGGCACATGTTTATTACAATGCAAATGTGTAACGCTCTACTCGTATATACATTCCATATATACAACTGGGTTATGATTGTTGATTGTGTAATCAAGTTCTGGTTTATTTATATTATCAAAGATACCGACAGGTTTGTAACAGGCCGCAAATGATAGTTTTGATGAACTGAGAGTTGTCGCATCGAGATTTACACACTTGAAAGAAACATGTGCAATTTCGTTAATTTTAAAATAAAACATCGCGCAGTAAGTAAATATGCAATAACTTAATAGTTGACATGAAAAAATGAATATGAACATTATGCAATTTGTTGTTAAAGCATTTATTTTAAAATAAATACAAACAATCGACACAAACTAGGTAATATCGGGACTAACATATTATTTCATTAACTCGCTTGCACGAGACGAAACCGGGGGACCCGAGAAACCCCACCTTGTTTGACAGACCACCTCACTCCTTGTCACTAAGCGGTAAGAGAGAGGTGGGTCATTTTGGCAATAAAATGTGGTATATCGCCATACTTGTTTTTTTATTTTAAGTTTGTCGTCTTGGGAACCATCTGCAAAGCCAAAGAAGATGAATAATCTGAGTAGTAATCTAAAATCTATTTATCGGATGTAAAGGGAGATAACTGGGTAAACATTTCAATTTTCTGCAAAATATCGAATATTCGTTGCAGTAATTATACTAATGTGCTGTTATTTGAAATATTTGGTTGTTATTTGGTCATATTGGGTAGTATTTGACGAGTATTTGGTAGTATTGGGTTATTATTGGCTTGTTTTGGGTGACATAGCGAGGCAAATGGAACAGAAAGACATCGGTTTCGCATTTGAAGCACATTTCCCGCGATATAACTCTCTATTTTTTAAAAAAAATCAAATGATATCTCTATTTGGCATCATTATGTCGTATTATTGGGTAGTATGTGGTGATATTGAGGTGGTATTGGGGTGACAGTGGGTAGTATTGGGTAAATCGTCCCACCCAGTAGAGATACCCAATCTTATCAGAAAAATACTGGATTCCTTGCAAAGCACCCATGGGGCGGCTATCACAAAGAGCAATTGGTGTCTGCTCGAGTGATGAGAAATTTAATCGTCAACAGATTCAGCAACTTAACGACGGAAAAAAAGATGGCATGGGATAATCCAAGAATTTACTTAAGATACATTATGGGAGATAAGATGACGAGTTGGCAGTTCGCATTATAATAGTTAAAAAAATAGATAATGTAAAGGCAATTTGCTGAATATTTCCGTCAAATTGATCCACTATGAACCTAGAATTAAGCGATTGAAATTTCCGCCTAGCCTCGATCATCATTACTAAAGTCAGTACGATAAAAAGCATAGTCTCGATTATTCATTTATTGATTTAATCGTGAAGTTATGCAGTAAATCGGGTCATAATCCACTAAAGATCGCAGGCTAGCGATGCCATCGAGAGTTGATTATGATACGGATAAGTTAATTAATGTCTAATTGATAATTTAGATAACATTTAAGGCCTAAAAAGACCTGCAATAGGCAGATCTAGCTCTTGCATGATGTATGTGTAAGTTTCGGTATTTATGGTAAATAGCAGCGACTAACCGACAAATACAAGCTGAAATTCGATTCTCCATTGATCAGGTCACATGATAAACAAGGCTGTGTAAAATAAGACTTTTACAGTCCGTGGTAGTTTTCTTTCGATTTAAATGTTTTGAGAGGTATTTGAAGCAAACTTTTGATGCATAAACTGGTTTGAACGTGTTGTCCGTCCACACAGATCATCAAATCAGAGAGGTTGTACGTGGAATGTCATCTTTTTTGTGTTGTTTTTCTTCAAGTTCTATATACCACCAACAGATCGTAATATGTCAAGGATGTACATGGAATGTTTAAGGCGACATGATCACATAACTACACTTCCATGAATAATAGATGGCATCGAGATGATGTGAAATATGAACAAAAACATCTTTAAAGGATATACTTTTTTGTCAATTACAAATCAAAGTTCGGGCGATTCCATTCCACAATTTTGTTTTCTTTTTTCTTTTTTGGACATTTATTTGCAACATAATATATTTTGTGACCTTTTGAAATGACTGAAGTTGTCACAAAGTATTCGATCGAGATTACAAACTAGAGTCAGGAAATGTGATTGAAGTCCACTCGACACAAAGCAGGTCATTTTGGGATTAACATATGGTTCAATTTTATTACAATAATTTACTTGCGGGTAGGGGTCATTAGCTGTGGCGGGACCAGGGGACCCGAAGAAAATTCATGAGGCTGGACTGGTGACAACTCCTAGTTACGTGTAAGCGAGGAATCGAAACCACACCACTTGACTCACTGACAGACCTTATGATCCAACGCGATCGTTTTTAACCATTCTGGGGTCACGGTTGCTAAGTGGGTAAGACGCTGGCTCGCTAGCCTGGAGGTAGGGCGTTCGATCACTGCATTGGCCAAGAAAGTTCATCCAGATTTTCCGGCGTGGTTCCCCCTTGTCAGTGATGCAGGACGGTGGGCCTGACAAGGACAGCTGTCTAGTCGTTCAGATGGGACGAAAAACCGAGGTCCCGTGTATATATTGGCGTGCACGTAAAAGATCCCTTGGCAGTTGGAATTCGATATAAGAGTAGGCCGTAGCGCCGCTGCCCGGGCAAAATTTCCCTCATAGCACACTGTGTGGCGTATGCCCGTCTTCATTAGCCCAGCTTAGGAGCAGAACAGTAAGACGTTAAACCCCATTTCATTTCATTTCGATAAACCATTCGGTTACACCCCCCCCCCATCCCCAACCTGAGATTAAAAAGATATTGTGATGATGATATAATTGAACTCTTATTATTTCCTTTTATAGCCAACTTCACCTCTTTTTTTTCTCTAGTTCGATGGTAAAATGGGATGAAAATATTGTATATAACCTTGAACTAAAAATAGCGCATAAAACCTTGAGCGAATATTAGAAACATAATTTAACGTATCATGTTTTTTTAGTCTGTGAAATGAAATGAGCTAGTTTAGCTTCCACTAGACACAAACTAGTTTAATTGTATTGTAATAATTCGCTAGTGCGTAGGGGTCTTTAGCAGTGGGAGAAAACCGGGGGACACTGAGAAAACCCACGAGGTTGGACAGGCGACCTTAATCCTTGTCATGTACAAGCGGGGAATCGAAACCACGCCATTTGACTCAATGGTAGACTTGATCATGCATTAAAGTGGACGTTAAACCCCACTTCTCTCTGCCCATGAATTTAAGACCTAGAGCCTTTAACCACCGCACCCCCGCACCATATACAAACATTGTTATATTGACTAATTATTGAAGGATCACCCATCAGTGATCAAGTAAATTCCGTCAGCTGTCACTACTTATGATGCTATCCAGAAAACCATCATGCTTCTGGTGCTAGCTTAGCTTGATACAAAAATAATTACCATTGATTGTTCGACAGTTTGATGTAAGATTAACCTTGAAAGACTAGCGGGGAGGGATGAGAGTGGGGGTAGGGGGGATCCCGCTTGAGAACCCTTAAACCATCAATGTTTTTTTTTTACTCCGATGTGTATGCGAGCAGGGTGTTTTACTTGAATGTTGGACAAATAAAATGATTTTGCCCCGACACTGCCACTATGAGCTACACTTATTTGGATTTCTAATTTGCAGGGGAACACTTTAAAAGCGGTATACGGGGGCTCTATTGGCATGCTTTGGACTATTCAGCTATCCACCCCACCGAATAAAAATAAAAACAACATCATTATATACATTAGTAGTAAATTGTGTTTTAATAATTCTAAAACCGTATAAAAATTACATTTGTATAAAAACATTTAAAATACATTGGTATAAATCGAACATTTAAAATATAATATTCAAAAAAAAGTGTAGATACATGTACTGAGGTCCAAATACAAGAATACCATGTTCAGACATTAAGACGGACCTGAAACATAGACTAACATATTACCCGTTCTAGTATTTACAATGTAATTTGTGTAACAGAGGGGGGTTGCTCATGGTCGATCTGTTACATCGTTACGTGTGGTTTTAGGAGTCTCGGTTACTCAGTCAGCATAACGCTGGACCAATATCCTGGAGGTCCCCAGCCCAGCGTTGGTCGAAAGATTCCGATGAACTTTCGCGGACAGTACCGAGACAGCCCCTAACACAATGTGAACACTACATCAAATCATGACCAGTCAAGGTTCGAGCACAATTTAGATTTTAGAGCACAATTATTTAGCACATCGTGATCGTAATACCCACTTAAAATTCACGTACATCGCTACAGGGTACACAATATTGCACTTTCATTAATTCAAATACAGTGTAATTAAAACACTGATGCAGGACACGGAAACAAAACTTTGATTTTGGGCCGCTTAAGCTCTCAAATGGAAATAACACACAATTGCTAAAGGGCTGCAACTCCAATGATTTTGATTTAAATGTGATAGAAATTCATATTAGTATGTTTAATTGAATACACACCATGACAAGCCACCAGTGGTTTTAACCACTGTCTTGGTTGGTTGTTACTGATCCCGGAAATTTATAAACTCGCGCATTTCACCATCGGTTATTTCACACAGTTCAAACATTAACGTAGAGATAGTTCTTAGTGACACATGTACCTGAGACGGGCACAATGTAAGGACAAATACACAAACGATCAGAATGAATTTTTAATGCCTCAGCATACAACAGCTTTTGTATCTGAGAGCTGAAAGAAGTAATCTAGCAACTTCAGCTGTGCCTTTTTGATTCAGAGTTTTATCATCCGCATAGAGAGAACTCTTCAAGGCACCGGAGACGGACAGAAAGGATGGTTCAGATGAAATATATTCACAGTTGAAATCGCAACAGAGCATCTGCAACATGGTGTTGATTCGCAAAATTGATCGATTGTATGAAAGTGATAGACGTGGTATTAAGCCAATAAACTTAATGATTGCCCGGGGAAATCTCTGCCGGATAACCAAAATAAGTTGGATATAATCAGCTTCACATCTACTCACATTAAGTCCTGGACCAGCGAAATTAGTCTCGGCCAAAACTACAAAGTTTAAAGTATAGAACGAAGCTTCACATCTGCATATAAAGTCATAGATGTCGTTTATGGACGCACCGGGTAGGGTACGTATTTCTGTGTTACCGGTACTGTCCAGGCGCCAGGGGCTGACACGTTGCATAACAGTCGTGCCAACTAAAATATTGGTTTTATCGTCTAAGGGTCTGATGTGATCAAATCGCGTTGTCTGTTCTGTATTCAGAGACTGGTCAATGCTGTATGAATAGTTCTTCCATGTCATTGTACTACCCATGTCTCTTACATTATCCTTCTTCCTCTCGTCCTTCTGAGAATCTTCAACTTCCTGGTTCAGCATTTCGTTGGTGGCGGACAATTCTTGTATTTGAACAGCTTGTAATCGTATTTGTGTTTTCAACTCTGTTACGGATTCTTCATGCTCTTTGTTTTGCTTTTCCATTTTAGTTTTCAATTCATTTTCACTAATTCTGCCATCCTTGAGCAACAATTCTAACGTGTCGTTGATGTTGGACAATTTGTCGACTTCGTCCTTCTGTAATTTCACTTGGGTATGAAGCGTTGCCATGGATTCTTCATCGTCAAGACGCTTGACTTTGGTCTCAAATTTACTACACATAACATCTATGATTTTCTGTTCAAGCTTCTTGTTGGTGGTGGACAATCTGTTGATTTCATCTTTCTGTACTTCCATCTGATTTCTGAGATCCACCACAGACTCTTCACATAGCTGACTTTTTGAAATCGATTCCTTCTTAACCTTAATTTTACAAACAATGCAATCTATATTTTTCTGGTTGGAGGATGACAATCGGTTGATCTCATCTGTCTGCAACTGCACCTGCTTCTTAAGTTCCGTTAGTTCTATTTGAGACTCTTCGTATTTCTGGCTTAAATTATCCATTTTATTTTGCATCTCCACACTACCAACGATGACATCTTTGTTTTCCTGTTCTAATTTTTGGTTGGTGACTGACAATTGATGGATTTCTTCCTTCTGGATTTTTAACTGGTGTCGAAGCTCTGTCACCACTACCAAGGACTCTTCATAACCAGTAGGCCCGTTTATCTGTTGATGCTGGATGTCCGTGTCAATTGATACTCCAGTTTTACAAACACAGCCATCTCTGGTTTTCTGTTCTAACGTTTGCTGGGAGATAGACAATTGTTCAAGTTCCTGCAGATGAAGCTTTATCCGATTTTGAAGTTCGATTAATGACTCCTCGTACTTCTTGACTTGTTCATTATGCTTATTTGTCAGCTTCTGGATAGTTTCCGTCAGCGATTCACAAGAGTTCTTCAGTTCCCAGTTCTGTGTCTTCAAACTGGTATACTGTGAATTCAAGGTTTGCCTATCGGTATTTGCCTCCGTCAGCAGGTTTGTCTGTAGAGCTAAATCCTCATTCAGGTTTGTAATGACGTCTTCTAAATCCGAAATGGTTTGATTCAGGTTTGAACTTTGGGAATGGGACTTCGATAGTTTGTCCGTCTTTTTTATCTGGAATTTTGATTTAAACTTGCTGGTTAAAGATCTGAAGGACGGTCTTCGTCTTCTGGTCTCGACATTCGAAATGTTGTTGTTGTCGACGATCGAAGACACGTCTTCGGTGGTGTCGCGATTAGTATTTTCTTTCTTTGTCACAAAGTCTCTTGGGTTAAGGTTTTGTTGGCCATTTATATATAAATCAATCGCAGTCGAATAACTGTCTGCCATTTTGCTTTCAGGCTTTGGAAAATGTCCGATACAGAATAAGGTTGGCCCTTATGAGTATTCAGCAAAACTATCACTAAATCATATTTCGGGCACAGCTTCTTTTTGTCTGCGATATCACTTCGGTGGAAGCGGACGTTAAATAAAGCAATTCCACACACACCTGCAGTTATCAACTATCTGACTCGAGATGCATCTGCTTTAAATCGAGATCTTGTCACGAAGGTCTAATCTGAAAATACAACAAAGTGAACAACAGATAATGAACGAAATGGAATGGGGTTTAATTTTATTTTCTGCACTGATTAGACAGATCAAGACCGGGTGCACGCCATACATTGTGATATAAGGGAACCAAAGTGAACCAATATCCTACACACTGAGCCACCGCGCTTCCAGTAAACAAATCATATTCTACAGTGACTCGTGAACGACAATACAGTTGGTCAAGTGCTGTTGAGATGGGGTGGGGGGCAGGCCAGTGATATATTACACAAAAGCGCAGGAGAGGTTTTCAAGTGGGCTGTGGATTGGAGAGAAATCTTATTATCGGTTTATCTTTATGGTAACAGATTTCTAATGATCTTGTTCGAACGCATCCTGTTTGGGGGTTAGCTGTACCCGGACCTTCTGTGCGTTAAGGAACGGTGTCGCATCGTTTGGTTGGGGCGATACAAACACAATGGAGTCAGGTGTACACGTTGACGTGCACTTATTGAAAGGGATCCTTGGCAGTTAGCTGTACGGTTAAAGGTTATCTCCAACATGTACACTGTCGTCTTCATTATCCCGGTTGGTGCGTTATGTTAAACCCATGCACTTAATTTCCAGTTGCAATGTGCTTGAACCTCAAGATTGTTTAATGTTTTAGAGAAAGAGAAATGGTGTTTAACGCCCACTCGACACAAACTAGGTCATTTCGGGACTAACATATGGTTTAATTTTATTTCAATAATTCGCTTGCGCGTAGGTGTCTTTAGCAGTGGGAGGAAACCGGAGGACCCGGAGAAAACCCACAAGGTTGGACAGGCGACCCTAATCCTTGTCACGTACAACCGGGGATTCGAAACTACGCCAGTTGACTCAATGACAGGCCTTATGATACAGCACGCACGTGCTAACCATCCCCCCCCCCCCGTTTAATGTTATATCTGTAATACTGAAGTCTACGTGTTAAGATATCGAAGGATTATTTTACTTTAGAAATCCTAAGAAAATAATAGTTATAGTTATTCAAAGGACAGACGTCCCTATTCGTATCATACTTAAAATGCAATTACGATTAAGCTGATTTATCAATATCTCCAGAAAAACACCAGTGGTAATACTCCGTATGATGTTTTTCTTTCGACAAAACTTCTCAGTGAATCATTTACGATTTTTTGGTGGGTGTAAATAAACGTTTAGCTACGCCTCCAGGGGATTAACCCTGCTTACAATATTATCAATTTATTATAATTCTAGTGTAAACTTACACATTGTGTACTCTTCTTTCCTAATCTATTCTTGGCTGCCATGGAGAGATAGTTCAATTAAATGAGTATGAAATTTACATACATGTTTTGGCTACATGTAGGAGCCCGATAAAGTTGTTATTTATATAGGCCACGATTAACGCGAACATGTTTTTGATATCAAAATAATAAAACTGTATGACGAAACAGTAATATAATAGATGGATAAAAAAACCTATACAATGTATGTATAAATACTTTCGCCGGAATGTATCTTTAATTAATAATAACAAGGGCCTTTTTGTGAATAATCCCGCTTAGTATTTATAAGTAATGGTTGTGCAAACCATTATTTTCACTGATCAGAAAGTGTTATACGGGTTATCCACAATTGATTCTATTATTGGAAGATTATCCAAATAATCTAAACAGAATATATAAACATCAACTAAATTAAAGATATAGTACCTAGTGAGCAGTTAAAAACATCAATAATACAACTTGAACATCTTCATAACTTGTCTTGTCCGAAATATCTTTTTTCTCTGCACACACAAAAAATGGCGGGTAGTTATATGGGATCAGTTATTGAATGCAGGTTGAACTTCCGGATTCCAAGGGGACCATTTCCTATTTCTATTATGACATATTACTCTCGATAATCCAGCCCAATACTAAGTCTTGTGCCTAAAGTACAATAATACACGCCTGGATGTGTGAGACTAATGGAACTTGATTTGAAGCAGCATGTGTCATTAATTCACAGCTTGAAATAAATTACATAATTAATCTATCCAGATTGTAATCCCTAATTAAGCCAATCGTCCTTTGAGTGATTTTAAATCCCTTACAGAACAACATTGTGACAAGGTTGAATCTCTAAAAGGAATATCAGTCAAATAATGGTTTAAGAGAGAGAGAGAGAGAGAGAGAAAGAGAGAGAGAGAGATGGGGTTTAACGTCCACTTCACTCGACACAAACAAGCTCATTTCGGGACTAACACATGGTTCAATTTTATTTCAATAGTTCACTTGCGCGCAGGGGTCTTTAGCAGTGGGAAGAAACTGGAGGACCCTGAGAAACCCCACGATGTTGGACAGGCGACCATTCTCCCTGTCACGTACAACCGGGGAATCCAAACAACGCCAGTCGACCCAATGATGACAGACCTTATGATACAGCACGCACATGCTAACCATTCAGCCATCCCATCCAATCCCCCTAATGGTTTGAGGAATCATTATGTAAATTGAAACATTCTGATATTGACGGAATATAATATTCTTCCAGCTTCTAACGGACGTCAAGTCAACCGAAAATTCACACGGGTAAAGATTTAATGTGAATATAAATGAGACCCCCCCCCCCCCCCGCAATACTGAATTGATAGTTTGTATTTCTAAATCCATATTGAACTCCGTACGAATTACGGGAATTAATATGCCTGCAAGTGTAAATTAAAGAAGAAATTGTTCATAATAATATGACATTCATTTAGTTTGATGGAACAAAAACCTTAGGAGAATCATCTTTAATAGAAGGCTTGATCTCGCCTTAACTACGTAGATGTTGTAAAACTCGAGGTCGTTGCTTCAGGAACATGTAGGAGAATGAATTAACTTGTCATCCAACGCGCAGGTTTGGACAAATGATACAGGTATGTGAATATAGTAGGCTGTATTCTGTATATATTTGCCTACTATATTCACATACCTGTACCATTTCCTTGATAAAGACAAGAGCATCCTCGTCGAAACATCGTTTGGTATTAAACTCAGTAATTGTGTCACGATAAAATTTTACCTCGTGACCTTCAGGTTATCGAGCTAATGCTACTCCCACTGCTCCCACCATACATTCACTTATTGTCCCCCGCCTTTCGAAGAAAGCAGGGGACTATTAAAATGGGTTCGCCCGTCCGTCCGTCTGTCTGTCTGCCCGTCACACTTTTTGGGACACAATAACTCTCTTTCTAATTGAGCTAGAATGTTCAAACTTGGTGTAGATGTTTATTAGGTCAAAGCCTTGATGGAGTTCGAAGATGAGCATTTTCTGCTTAGGGTAAGCAGAGATAAGCAATTTGACTGGTTGATGCTTTGGGACACGATAACTTTAGTTCTAATTAAGTGAGAGTGATGAAAATTGGTGTATAGTTTCATTACATCAATACATTGACTAAGTTCGATAATAAGCATTTTCTGCTCAGGGTAAGCAGAGCGATAATCAATTTGATTGGCCAAGATTTTGGAACACAATAACTCTCCTTCTAATTGAGTTAGAATGTTCAAACTTGGTGTAGGTGTTTATTACATCAATACCTTGACTAAGTTCAATAATGAACATTTTCTGCTGAGGGTAAGCAGAGCGATAAGCAATTTGATTGGTCTAGACTTTGGAACACAATAACTCTCCTTCTCATTGAGGTAGAAAGTTCAAACTTGGTGTAGGCATTCATTAGTTGAATCCCTTGATGGAGTTCGATGATGAACATTGTCTGCAATCTGATTGGTTGATGCTTTAGGGGCATGCTAACTTTGGTTAAAATGAAGTGAGAGCGATGAAACTCTGAATATAGATTCATTATATCATTACCTTGACTAAGTTAGATTGTGCGAATTTTCTGCCTGGGCTAAGGAGCGATAAGCAATTTGATTGGGCAAGACTTTGGAACATAAAAACTCTGCTTTTAATTGAGGTAGAATGCTTAAACCTGATGTAGATGTTCATTAGGTGAATGCCTTGACTGATTTCAATGATTAACATTTCAAGCTAAAGCTAAGCAGAGCTAATCAATTTCATTGGTCGATGTTTTGGGACAAGATAATCTTGATTCTATCTGATAGAGAGTGATGAAACTTAGTGTGTAGTTTGATTGCTGGATACTTTTGAAAAAAATAAATGTGTGATTAATTAATATGTGTCATCTATTTATTTTGGGATTTTGGATGGGGACATCAGCCTCACTGTTGGCTTGTTTAAACATAAATATAAATACAATAATATATATATCTTTAAAAAAGAACAAAAAACATAATTTTATTCTTTTTATAAAAACATAACAATAAATGATGAGAAACATGTCAACAATATGTTCAAAAATCTGTATATTTTATAAACTTTGAGAGGTGTAGGTTTTAAACTCAATCGCTACCACTTTCAAGACACCTCAGTTCTCACACCCACACAGGGCAGACTATAATTTGAAATGTTGTGCTGTATAAATTTGGGGCAGGGGTTGTTAGCACCTGTCATAAGGCCTGTCATTGAGTCAACTGGCGTGGTTTCGAATTCCTGGGTTGTACGTGACAAGGAGTAGGGTCGCATGTCCAACCTTGTGGGTATTCTCCAGGTCCTCCGGTTTTCTCCCACTGCTAAAGACCCCTACGCGCAAGCGAATTATTGAAATAAAATTGAACCATATGTTAGTCCCGAAATGACCTAGTTTGTGTCAAGTGGACGTTAAAACTTCTCTCTCTCTCTCTGTATAAATTCAAGAATTGTTTTTATTATAGCTTTAAAAAGTCTCTTTCATACCATCACACATTCACAGAACAGAATTCAGTTTGAAATGTTGCCCTTTCTAAAGGCAAGAATTATTATTATAATTATAGCTTTAACAGTCTGTATAGGACCAATAGTGTTTCACAGACAGGCTTGTATCCTTTTGCTGCTATCAAAGCCTGGAATAGTACTCAACTTGTCCAACGTTTAACAACTATATATATATATATCATTATTGTTAATTAATTAATATTCTGACTGATAGTTTTGTCTTTTGTCGGTACGTTTATTAAACACATAATTCAGTATTAAACTCAACTTGGACGTAACTATGCATGGAGGTAACAATAAGGTTGAAACATAACAATCCAACTGGAAGAAATGGTATGTGCCTTAATACTTGTTACAACCCCTTCTGTTTCGTATAGCCCCCCTTAGCAAAAAATTGTACGTGACTTTAACACTCGTTATATATTATATTTTCTTCTGTTCCTTGCGTATTGTCATATAGATGGTCACAGTAGTTCTTAGCATAAAGTGGATTCTGTCATGAGAACTGAAGCTGATTCTATCATGAGATGAAGTGGATTCTATCACGAGAACTGAAGCTGATTCTATCACGAGAACTGAAGCTGATTCTATCACAAGATAAAGTTGATTCTATCACGAGAACTGAAGCTGATTCTATCACGAGAACTGAAACTGATTGCAACGCAAGAGATGGAATTTATTCTATCACATAGATTGTATTCCCAGAATTGAAGTAGATTTTTTCCCAAGAGTTGAAATATATTTTATCACAAGAATTCAAGTAGTCTATCACGAGAACTGAAGTAGATTTTATCACAAGTGTCCAAGTAGATTTTATCACAAATCTGTCATTGAGTCAACTGAGGTGGTTTCAATTCCCAGTCTGTACACATGGTTTCGATTCCCAGCCTGCACATGACAACGAATGGGGCCCTCTGTACAACCTCGTGGGCTTTATCCGGTTTTCTCCCACTGCTAAAGACCCCTATGCCTGCGAAATTATTGAAATAAAATTGAACCGTATGTTAGTCCCGAAATGACCTGGCGTGTGGATGTTTAGACCACATGTCTCACAAACACTTAAGAATGCAGACATTTTATCATGAGAATTGCAGAAGATCAGCTCTACAGAACTCCCCTGTATCTAGATTTTTAGCCATTAGTTGATATGGTTGAGCGTTGGGTGTTGCGTGTTGAACATACAATCTGTTTATACAACAGTCCTGAAACGAAAATAAAACAAAAGGATGCATTATGTAATGAAATGAAATGGGGTTTAACGTCCTACTGCTTCTGCACCCAATGGACTAATGAAAAAAGACAGACACCATACAGTGTGCTAAATTGGGGATGTTGCCCTTGTATCAAATTACAACTGTCAAGGTTTCTTTTACGTACACACCAATGTGTTCACAAGACCTCTTTTTTTTTCTTCCCATGCAAAAGACTACACGTTGTCCTTTGTCAGACCTGCCAACCAGCACCACTGACATTGGGGAACCTCGCCGAAAAATCCTGATGAACTTTATCCGTCAACACAGGTTTTGATTCCCTGCTTGTACGCTCCCACTGCTAGAGACCCCTGCACGCAAGCATATTATTGAAATAAAGTTGAACCATATGCTAGTCCCGAAATGACCTAGTTTGTGTCGAGTGGACATTAAACCCCATTTCTCTCTGTCTGCACAAATTGATCCATTCGTGATTCCAATCATCTAGGGTTCTTTAAATGCATGCCAACATGTACACATGACCTCTGTCCTGCATCATTGAAAACACCAGGTACCAGATTCACAAAGAATTTACTCAAAATTGTTCACCTTATATTATATAAAATATAGCCCTTTCTAAAACTGTTCTTGTTTTAATGGGGGGTCGGATGGCTGAATGGTTAGCACGCTGTATCATAAAGTCTGTCATTGAGTCGACTGGCGTGGTTTTGAATCCCCGGTTGTACGTGGCCTGTCCAACCTCGTGGGTTTTCTCCGGGGCTTCCGGTTTCCTCCCACTGCTAAAGACCCCTACGCGCAAGCGAATTATGTAAATAAAATTAAACCATGTTAGTCCCGAAATGACCTAGTTTGTGTTGAGTGGACGTTAAACCCTATTTCTCTCTCCCTCTCTCTTGTTTTAATGTATCAAATACATTTAATAAGAAACTATGTGCAAAGTTTTGTGCTTCTGGATCAAAGATATTTCTCATAAACTAAACAGTGAATGAAAGTTGAGTAAATTCTGAGAATGCTTTGTGGACTAAGTGCCAGGATCAAACTGGAACCTCCAGGTTAGTAATCCAGTACCTCACTCACTTGAAGCAACCAAGTGGTGTATTTGTCATATAAATACAGTTAGTATTATCTCCCTTTATCAAATAACTCTATTTTGTACAAATTATTACAATGTCCGGCAGGGCCTAAAATAAGGTTAAATTTTCAGAGCACGGATTTAGAGTTGACCGCCCGCGAGCGCCACAGGCGCGAAACGCGCCGGCGGGTGGTCTGCCCCCCCCCCCCAGAAAATTTTGAAAATTCGAGCTCCGGTTTCCCATCCATATTTCAATACTTAAAATCGCAGATAACACCGAAAATAAGTCAAAAACAAACTTTTTCAAAGTGAAAGTGAAATGACGGTCAAGGTCGCAGCGGAGCGGACTGGATACCAAGCCTACTGAAAAACCTGACTAGTATGCTGATGCACTCACTCGCGACTACCTCGGATGAGTCGAGTGAGTGCCAGGTGATCTGATCTGATCTGTGCAACTGACCACACCACAAGAACACAAGAAGAAACACCCAATTAGAGGTCAGGAGGCAATGCTGACTACACTTTTTTAGAGCACTACACCATTTTTCTGAGCACAGTTTTCTTATTTTCGAAGCACGGATTTTTTATTTCGAGGCACGTTCGTGCTCCAAGGCACATTATTTTAGGCCCTGATGTCCGGACCATATTATAATCTCTCCTGCACCAACCCGGGATAACCAGGATAATAATTATAGGAAATGAATGAGAGAGAGAGAGGGTTAACCGCCACTGGACACAAACTAGGTCATTTTGGGACTAACATAACATGTGATTCAATTTTATTTCAACAATTTGCTTGCGAGGGATCTTTAGCAGTGGGAGGAAACCAGAGGATCGAGAGAAAACCCACGAGGTTGAGCAAGCGATCCTACTCCTTGTCACGTTCAACTGGGGAATCGAAATCACGCCACTTGACTCAATGACAGATCTTATGATACAACGCGCACGTGCTAACCATTTGGCCATCCAACCCGCCTTGACATGAAATGAAATCATGTTTCTGCACCAACCGGCATACACTGTACAGTGTACTATAAGGAAAAGTTTGCCCAGACAGCGGCATATTCGCTTACTCTTTGTCGAGTTCCAAATCTGTAATACATGCACTGCATGGTCTGTTATCAAGGCATGTATCAGAGTTACATTCCACCTATCTCATGGTGGTGTTGGTGTTTTTATATTGTCTCCATAGGGTGCTGAGCAATGCTTCAATTGATCAGGGGAGCCACGGTAGGACATTGGCTCGCTAACCTAAAGGTCCTGTGTTTGATCCTTTTTTTAGGAGTTGACAATATTGTAGTTTTTGAAAGGTTGAAAATCCCAGACAATCAGAGACTTTAAGATATTTCTCATTACTTAAATATATTACTTAATGTCAAATAATGTTACTTACTGTTAAATATTGTTACTTTAATATGTTACTTACTGTTAAATAATGTTACTTACTGTTAAATATTGTTACTTTAATATGTTACTTACTGTTAAATATTGTTACTTACTGTTAAATATGTTACTTACTTGTTAAATATTGTTACTTACTGTTAAATATTGTTATTTATTGTTAAATATTGTTACTTACTGTTATATATGTTACTTACTTGTTAAATATGTTACTTTCTGTTAAATATGTTACTTTCTGTTAAATATGTTACTTTCTGTTAAATAATGTTATTTACTTTTATATATGTTACTTACTTGTTAAATAATGTTACTTACTGTTAAATATGTTACTTACTTGTTAAATAATTTTACTTACTGTTAAATAATGTTACTTATTGTTAAATAATGTTACATACTGTTAACCCTTTCAATGCTAGACGTAAATCCACTGCCTGTGCTAGACCCGTTTTTGAGGAAAAAAGGGGGGTTGGAACTGAATGCCAAACAGTACTTATGGAAGCTTTTATGAAAAATCTTTTTGTTTGTTGGGATGGGCATGAGGTTGGGCTAAGAGGAAAAAATAGAATTTTGGAAATTTGCATAATAATGTAGTCACGTGACGTCATGGTGGCCATTTTGGATTTCTCATTTTTCACTAAAGCTAACACAAAAACGAATTTTTCTCCATGAAATACCGGTACTTATGAGATATTGTTTTTTTCACTGGATTTTGATAAAGATATATAAAATGAACAAAAATATCAATAGCAGCCATGAGCAATGCCACCACGTACACGCGCATCACGTCTCCTGCTGCCATGACCACGTGCGGATTGCAATACCTTGTTTTCACTTTCACTTTCATTCCCAAGTCCCATATCATTATCAATATAGTCAATCAATAGATCTACACGTTCGGGACTCAGGAATTGCCTACGTCCTTTACGATCCAGCAGGTCAGCATTATTATCAACATCAGAATTATTGTCAGAATCTACTGCAGACACAGGGCTATCGTGTTCACATTGAGCTTGTTCATCATGCACGGGAGACATAGCCATAGGCGGAACGTCACGCAACAAATCACACACGTACTTCATAATACCAATCACTGTCCTCACTACTATCATTATCAAGTAACTGGAAACGAATTATGTGTATCACCCGCCTCGAAATTGTCCACATGTTGGTCTGCAAGACGTCATTCACGACTTCGTCGAGAGTGCATCGTCTACGTTGTCACTATGCACTCCGTCATTTTACGGTTTGCCGCTTTGAAACATGTGGAAATAAGTTCTAGTGTATAGAAAATACAATATATGGCACTTGCAGTTACGGTACTAATTTTAGCGAGGGCTTTACTGAGTACACGGTAATACCGGGTACGTGTATTTTAACAACATTTTATAATACCCGGTACTACCGGGTACACGCAATGAAAGGGTTAAATATGTTCCATACTGTTATATATGTTCCATACTGTTATATATGTTCCATACTGTTAAATATGTTCCATACTGTTAAATACATTACTCACTGTTAAATATTGTTACTTACAGTTAAATACTGTTAAATGATGTTACTTTCTGTTAAATACAGTTAAATAATGTTACTTACTGTTAAATAATGTACAGCAGCCGATGAAACATGAGCGCATCCATTTAAATATATCTCTTCTAAATCATGACAACTATTAGCGAGGGCGAAGATACTGGCATCGGTCAGGTTGTTGATTCCTGATAAAACTAAACTCTTTAATGGACAACATCGAGCTAACTCTATCAACGCTGAATCTGTTATCTGGAAAAACAATCAACAGAATGATTAGGACCTCTTTAAAAAAAACAACTAGGATCAATCATCAAGTTCAAAATATCATCACTTGCCTACAAGAGTCTGGGCAAAAGTACCTGTGCGATATCTTGAAAATGAGATTTCCACAACAGTAGTGAACGTTGATGTGTTGATGATTGTACCAATGAAAGGAATGCAGTTAAAGATAAGAATCTACACAATGCTTTAGTCATTTACTGAAAAATATATGGTAATTTTTTCTATGGTCACATGTGCATTGCTATGCGAGAAAGGGAGAGAGAGACAAACAAATTAGGTCATTTCGGGACTAACATATGGTTCAATTTTATTTCAATAATTTGCTTGTGCATAAGGGTCTTTTTAGCAGTGGGAGGAAACCGGAGAACCCAGAGAAAACCCACCACGAGATTGGACAGGTGACCCTACTCCTTGTCAGGTACAACAGGGGAAAAAAACCATGCCAGTTGACTCAATGTCAGAACTTATGATATAGCGCGCATGTGCTAACCATACAGCCATCCCCCCCACCCCCCGCAATTCTATGCATGAGAATTTAAACTGGTATAGGTTTTCTTTGTGTATATCAATGTGTACCATCCCAGGTGCGATGTGGGCTTGCAAAATCCAAGTGTGCTTTAAGGGAAATTTTGCCCACACAGCAGCACTACAGCCTACTCTTATATCGAATTCCAGCTGTCAAGGGTTCTTTTACGTGCACACCAATGTGCACACAGGACCCCAGTTTTCCATCCAATCCCAATGACTAGACACTGTTCTTGAAATGCCCTCAATCCTGTGCAAATGACATAAGAAAACCATGCTGGAAAATCCTGAGAAACTTTCGCAGCCAACACCAGGAGCGAACCCAAGAACACCAGGCTAGACAACCAGCGTCTTACTCATTGAGCCACCACAACTCCATTCAAAAGTTATTGTTTCAGAAACATGAAATATTTTTTTAGGATACCCTCTAAAATATAAAAAAAATCTTACCAGCCTACAGCCCTTTAGACTGATTTTGTTCAAGGAAAAACAGTTTTCTACTAAACTAAAGATGACATCATTGGTGACCCCTGACACACCCCCAAGGTCAAACTTCTGGAGGTTAATACAGGTTTGAACCACTAGGTAAATGACTTTAAGACTCGTCTACAAAATACACAGGAAATATTTCAGAGTATATTTTGGTTTAAAGTTGCTGATTGTATTTCCCTTGTGAAGTACAAGATTGTGAAACTTACATAATCTCTAAAAGGAGAGAGAGAGAGAGAAATGGTTCAATTTTTGATTTCAATAATTCGCTTGTGCATAGGGGTCTTTAGCAGTGGGAGGAAACCAGAGGACCCGTAGAAAACCCACGAGGTTGGACAGGCGACCCCACTCCTTGTCACGTACAACCAGTGACTCGAAACCCCGCCAGTTGACTCAATGGCAGGCCTTATGATACATCTCTAAAAGGAATATCAGTACAAAAATGAGCACCCTTGCAATGAGAGAGAGAGAGAGAGAGAGAGAGAGAGAGAGAGTAACATATGGTTCAATTTTATTTCAATGACAGACGCTAACACGCACACGCTAACCATTCGGCTATCAACCCCCCCACCCCGCTACGTCACTGCATCAATCTTTTTACAGAGGTAATGCGAAAGCCTTCTTTTAAGATGACCGACTTTTATAGTCACATCCAGTATAGGTCCACTATGAAGTTACATCATAAGCCATCAATAGCACATGTATTGTTTTCATTGGACGTAGTAACACTAACTAGTCCAGACAGCAAAATTGTTGCTGTTTACTTATTTTACGCCTTTGCGTACTATTTCATTTACCTATTTACACTAAATAGGAAATATTTTTTTATCCAGATATACTATTTTTTTTCTCAATAATTTAAAAAATTCTTTTAGAATTTATTTTGCAGAAGAAAGAAAGTTAATATTGAGAGCTAATTAACTCGCCCCGATGTCATCCCTTTCAGTGATAGTAGCTGCAAAGCGAATATTTACTGCTGATCAGTTTGAGAGTTGAAACCAATCTGATTAAAACACACATTCTATTTTGTTTTGATTTTATAGTTCAAGGGGGAACCACACCACAAAAAATTCTGATAAACTGTCTCATCAGCCAACACAGGGATTGAACACGGGACCTTCAGGTTAGCGAGCCAACGTCTTACTCACTGAGCATCCCACCCCACCCGCAAAAAAAATAAAAAAAATATGGACAAACCTGTTTACAATTCACTGAGAGATTAACTATTTTACTGGCACGTTTACGATCTTGAAAGAGAGGTATTAAAGTTTCTCCTGTCACATCTGCTAACATACTGATCTTGAGAGATTCTAGATTATGACAATATTTAGATATGGCCGCCACTCCAACATCTGTTAAATTCTTGGTAAATCCACCATAACCGCTGACATCCAACAAAACCAGATCTTTTCCTATCTTCTCTAAAACCTGACAACAGAGAACATATTTTGATACTGATGGCAGACAGAAGAAGTAAGCAACAGGCCTAGCGTATCTAGTGGCCCACTGAAGCTAATTTGTCCTGCCAGCAATATAACGGATTAGAATCACATTACACAATAGTTAATAATTCTTTAATCACGGCTGGGATCTATTCTCAATGTAGACAATAGCAAAATTTGGAACAATGTGCTATTATCTAGCAAACAATGTCACTCATTGTCAGTTTTGTTTGTACATCAATTCTGTTTTTTCCTGTCATCCATATATAAGTCATTGTGGAGTATTAAGTCGAAGCCCCGACTTCTACGGAAAAAAGTACTGATTTGTTTACAGTATTTACCTTTGAAAGAGTTTCATCATTTAAAGCTGTCACACCACAGAGATGAACTGAACGAAGTCTGGTTAATCTTTCTAAACTTTCTACAAATATTGTTTGATTATCCAGTAATAAACCACATATAGTCAGATCAGTTAAACATTTGGGTAAAATCCACAACACTTCGTTGTCTGGATAATCACGCAATTTATTACAATAGGATAAGTCTAGATCTTCCAGTCTTGTACAGCCTTGAAATAACTTTAAAAAAAGATAGAAAATTTCTAATACTACATATAAATTGTTATTCACGTCAAAGTTATACTTTCTTGGTAGTAAGAGATAGAAATGGAGTTTAACGTCCACTCAACACGATGTTGATCATTTCAGGACTAAAATAGGCTATAGTTCAATTTTATTTCAATAATTCGCTTGTGTGTAAGGGGACTTTAGCAGTGGGAGAAAACTGAAGACCTACAGCAAACACATGAGGTTGAACAAGCGACCCTATTCCTTGTCATGTACAAGCTGTTCCTCATGCAAAATCACGTGTCACCACGCCCTTGATCCTGGGGTGACATGCATTGTTGCACTGTCAATTATTTAAAATTGAAAACATTTCGGGCATTACTTAAAATTGAAAACATTTCGAGAATGTTAGTTACCGGTATTCACATCAATTTTCTTGGCGATATAAATTATATACATTATTAATAACAAAATTAACTACCTTAATTAAGGCGTCTTTTCCAATCCGCGTACATCCTTCTAAATTTAATCTGATAACAAAAAATAAAACTAGATAATTATATATTTATGTCTTCTTTTTTCTGCTCCAACAGAGCTAATTGGCATACACCATGCAGTTTGCTATAGGGGAAACTGCCAAGACAGGTGCACTTTTGCCTATTATTTCAAACTGAAACTGCCAAGGGTTCTTAAACGTGCACAGGACCTAGCTTTTTTGTCGTCTCATCCCACATATCTAGATGCTATTGCTTGCTAGGCTCCCCCTATAATACACTTCTGCTAATTGGAAACCATGGCGGTAAATCTTTACCATTATATTTTAATTCAAACAAGCCAACAGTGAGGCTGATGTCCCCCGCCGAAATAGGAAAATAATTAGAGGACACATATAAATTTATCACAAATTATCTTTTACAAAGTATTGAACAATCAAACAGTATATCTTTACTTATAGTCTAAGCATACAATGTTTTTGATGGAATAATTATAGCATATTACGGGGAAAACACGACGGACGAACCCATTTTAATAGTCCCCTGCTTTCTTCGAAAGGCGGGGGACAATAAGCATACACACCAATTTTGAACATTTTAACTCAATTCGAAGGAGAGTTATTGTGTTCCAAAGTCTCAGCAAATCAAATTGCTTATCGCTCTGCTTAATCTGAGCAGAAAATGCTCATTATCGATCTTAGTCAAGGTATTACTGTAATGAAACTATACACCAAGTTTCATCACTCTCACTTAATTAGAACTAAAGTTATAGTGTCCCAAAGCATCAACCAATCAAATTGTTTATCTACTTAATTAGAACTAAAGTTATAGTGTCCCAAAGCATCAACCAATCAAATTGTTTATCTCTGCTTACCCTAAGCGGAACGGACAGACAAACAGACAGACGGACGAACCCATTTTAATAGTTCCCTGCTTTCTTCGAAAGGCGGGGGACAATAAGCATGAACATTTACTCAATTCGAAGATCAACCAATCAAATTGTTTATCTCTGCTTACCATAAGCGGAACGGACAGACAGACAAACAGACAGACGGACGAACCCATTTTAATAGTTCCCTGCTTTCTTCGAAAGGCGGGGGACAATCAAAGTAGGAGAGTTATTGTTTTCCAAAGTCTCGACCAATCAAATTGCGTATCGCTCTGCTTACCCTGAGCAGAAAATGCTCAATTATCAAACTTAGTCAAGGTATTACTGTAATGAAACTATACACCAAGTTTCATCAATCTCACTTAATTAGAACTAAAGTTATCGTGTCCCAAAGCATCAACCAATCAAATTGCTTATCTCTGCTTACCCTAAGCGGAAAATGCTCATCTTCGAACTCCATCAAGGCATTGACCTAATCAACACATACACCAAGTTTGAACATTCTAGCTCAATTAGGAAGAGAGTTATCGTGCCCCAAAGTATCAACCAATCAAATTGCTTATCTCTGCTTACCCTAAGCGGAAAATGCTCATCTTCGAACTCCATCAAGGCATTGACCTAATAAACACATACACCAAGTTTGAACATTCTAGCTCAATTAAAAGTTATCGTGTCCCAAAGCATCAACCAATCAAATTGCTTATCTCTGCTTACCCTAAGCGGAAAATGCTCATCTTCGAACTCCATCAAGGCATTGACCTAATCAACACATACACCAAGTTTGAACATTCTAGCCCAATTAGGAAGAGAGTTATCGTGTCCCAAAGCATCAACCAATCAAATTGCTTATCTCTGCTTACCCTAAGCGGAAAATGCTCATCTTCGAACTCCATCAAGGCATTGACCTAATAAACACATACACCAAGTTTGAACATTCTAGCTCAATTAGGAAGAGAGTTATTGTGTCCCAAAAAGTGTGACGGACAGACAGACGGACAGACAGACGGATGGACAGACAGACGGACAGACAGACAGACGGACGAACCCATTTTAATAGTCCCCTGCTTTCTTCAAAAGGCGGGGGACAAAAAAAGAAAAAGGGAGTTTTAGGAAACTTACTTTCTGAGGTTCGGACAATAAAGAGATAAATTATTCAGACAAACATCATTGGTGGTATGTAAACAAGCATCAAATTCTTCCTGTTGAAAGAAAACATACAACATAAAACTTAATAAAAGACAGCAAGAAATTCTAATATTACAAATAAATTGTTATTTACAATCCATGAGATTGGACAGATTCCTTGTATCTTATAATAAGCTAAAGCGCACTTCTAAGACCTCACAACTACAGGCAAACGCCATGCAGTGCGTTATTACTGAAATGTTAACAAGACATGGGACCTAGTTATCCGTCAAATTACCCCCCCCCCTCCACCCTTGGTAATTGTGCTATTTTTTATCAACCAATCAATAAATTCCATAAATAGAAAGCGAGTGGGTGAAGGGAAATAACTCTCATTTTGTTGCAACTAAGATTTTTGAATCGTTGTTGTAAACTTTGTCAAAATATTTTAGGACATCTATTTGTGTGACTGTCACTTTGGTTTTAAATCTCTTGCAAACTTTCTCATAATCGAGCTTACAAGCCGTTATATTATCGTGAAAGTAAACTATCAGGCTAAGACTAATATGTAATGTGTTTTTTTTTTTGGTTTGTAGAATCAAGGGGGGGTTGGATGGCCAAATGGTTAGCATGCGTGTGCTGTATCATAAGGCCTGTCATTGAGTCAACTGGCGTGGTTTCAAATCCCTGGTTGTACGTGACAAGGAGTAGGGTCGCCTGTCCAACCTACTGCTAAAGACCCCTACGCGCAAGCGAATTATTGAAATAAAATTAAACCATATGTTAGTCCCGAAATGACCTAGTTTGTGTCAAGTGGACGTTAAACTCTCTTTCTCTCTCTTTGTAGAATCAACATATTTGACCAGTGAAATCATCAAGGGAAGATAATTAGACTTCATTAATACCCTATGTATGGAGCTAGGGGTTAGTGGAGTAGAACAGAACACTACAACAGTGGATACTGAGGATGTTACTTACTAGTGAATCTTGTAAATTTTGTGCAACATGTTGATATACAGTTGAATCTACGCCAGTTTTTCCTCCCAGAATTAAAACACGAATGGATGGATTATTTGCTGTTAATATTTTCACACCTGTAATACATGGTTATATATGGTTAAAACTTTATATACACATGGACAATATTCTTTAGCAGATGGACAATATTCTTTAGCACATGGACAATATACTTTAGCACATGGACAATATTCTTTAGCACATGGCCAATATACTTTACCTGAAACTAGGTCTTCTTAGACTTGGGTTTGAGGTGGTATAAGGCACAGTAACTGTATATATTCAGGGATATAGTATGTCTTTTAACAAAAAAGGTGAATTGAAACAGTGGCATTCCTGTCAACTGTTCTTCCACGTCCCACCGTAGTCTGTCCAACCTCATGGGTTCCCCCCCCCCCAAGACCTTTGGTTACCTCCCATGGCTAAAGACCTGCATGCGCAAGCATATTATTGAAATAAAATTGAACCATATGTTAGTCCCAAATTAAGCTAGTTTGTGTTGAGTGGATGTTACCTCACATCCCTCTCTCTCTCTCTACATCCTATTCCAATGACTAGACGATGTACCTTGCCAGACCCTCTGTCCTGCACTACGCACACCTGTGGTGGCTCCCAGACCAACTTAACTACTCCCATAGAAGCCACTCCTACTCAGCGACATCTCCTTGTAGGGGCCACGATAAATGCCCCCTTCTCCCCTATAAATTCTTTGGCTGCATCTGTTTAATAAACGGTCACGCCTCTAACATGGCCAGAAGTCACAATCTTAGATTATGAATCTAACAAAACATTAATTTCAGTGCTGTCACTGAGATTTTATTAGGAGGTCACTCATGAAATTTTCCCTTGCATGAATGCTGAATACTGTAATTGACCTTCAGCTACAATCAACACAAAGAAGTCCAGCCAATTTCCTCACCTTCCGTTTTTAAATTTGTACAATTTTTTAAATTTACTTTCCATAGTTTCTGTGATTTCAGCTGATTAAAACAACTAGATGTTAATAAAGGTAGTTTGATTAATTCTAATATTTCTAACTCTGTCTGATCTCTAGTTATACTCTCAATTCCTACATCTGAAATAATAAAAAAAACATGGATACTGTACTGACATTATAAAATATGGTTGCTGTACTGATATATAAAACGTGACTGTTGTACTGACATTATAAAACATGGCTGTTGTACTGACATAAAACATGGCTGTTGTAATGACATTATAAAACATGGCTGTTGTAGTTGTACTGCCTCTAAACAAATTATGGACACTGTACTGACATTATAAAAAAACACTTTATAAAACATGGATACAGTATTGACTTCATAAAAGAAATAGATATGGTACTGACATTATAAAAACATAGATACCGTATGTACTGTCATTATAAAAACATGTATACTGTACTGACCTACAAAACATGAATATTGTACTGACATTCAAATGGGAGAAAAAACCCACTGTTCTTCCATCTACAAACTGGAAACCGTGACAGTTAGGAAATGCCACATTACAGAACTTTTGATATGGCTACACAAGGAGAAAGCACAGACAATATGGCTGCAAGCCTGGAAATAAGGCACCTGTCACAGACAATGTCAGGCTTTGTCAGGCACAAAACCTCTAGTACCTGTCATTTTGTCCGGCACTGATTTGTATTTTTTACTGATATTATTAATACATGTCCGGCACTAAGTTGAAAATGTCAGGTACTATTTCATTAGTGCCTGACATTTTGTCAGGTACATCTAAAACCGTTATTTCCAGGCCTGTATGGCTGACATTATATTATTAGCCTATCTGCCATTACTTTAATATGTTATCATTTTTGTTTAAAGTCTATAAAGTGATTGTCTTTAATTAAAGGAGCTAAATCACTATTTTTTACCCCTAGAAATGAACACAAATGGGTCGCAAGGCATATAACGATGTAATATGCATGTATATAAACTGATTTACATTGAACTGGACAATTTCTGTTTTTACTGTAATTTCTCATCAGTTATGTTCGACGAAATACGTGGAGAGTCTGAATTGAATGGCAGTCTTTGGCATCTGGTTATTCCAGTCTACAGCTGTAGTATTCATCAAGTTTCTTCATACAACTGGCACTCGAAAGCATTCTGGCACACGATTTATGTCTTTAAATATTGGATATCAGAAGCCCATTTTTTCACAGTAAGATAGCAACATGAATGTTGATTTAAACTGACCAATAAGTTGTATTTGCAATGTCGAAGACTGTGGATGATATTCAGTTAAAGACTTGGCTCCTTTAAGCAAGGGGGATCACATGGCTAAGTGGGTGTTCGATCCCTGCATTGGCCGAGAAAGTTTATCCAGATTTTCCGGCGTGGTTCCCCCTTGTCAGTGATGCAGGACAGAGGGCATGACAAGGACAGCTGTCTAGTCGATCGGATGGGACGAAAAACCAATGTCCCGTGTACACATTGGCGTGCACGTAAAAGATCCCTTGACAGTTGGAATTCGATATAAGAGTAGGCCGTAGTGCCGCTGTCCGGGCAAAATTTCCCTCATAGCACACTGTATGGCTTATGCCCATCTTCATTAGCCCAGTTCGGAGCAGAACAGTAGGACATTAAACCCCATTTCATTTCATTTCATTTCATTTCCTTTAAGCAAGTATGGTCTTAACTTAACTGTATTATAATCTTTGGGTGCAAATAAGCTTATTAAGAATAGTCCGAAAACTTTTGGTGATAAATTAATATTTACAATTACTATTTTTACCTGTAACTAACTGACAACCATGTATATTTAAAAACTGTAATCTACATCGTGATCTGGCTAGTTTCTCCAACAAATCGTCCGTCACCTGATGACATTTATAAAACACTATCGTACGTAGACTTGAACAAAATACGTTCTGTACCACATATGGTATATTAGTCTCATACAACAAGTCATGATAAGCCAGTCTTTTTATTAACAGTTCTTTATGTACAGTTGGTAAACGGACTGGAAGATCTGAGAAATTTTGAAGATTTTTTGTAATGCAGATGAGACACAGATCGTGCAATCGTTTCACCATTCTCGAATTATTTGTCACTTCCCCGTCCTGTAAAAAAAGAGTAAAACTTTATTAAAGATGCATTATGTGTGTGTGTGTGAGAGCGAGCGAGAGAGAGAGAGAGAGAGAGAGAGAGAGAGAGAGTTTAACTCAACTTGACACAAACTAGGTCATTTTGGACTAACACATGTTCAATTTTATTTCAACAATTCGCTTGTGTGTAGGGGTCTTTAACAGTGGGAGGAAACCAGAGAAAACACACAAGGCTGGACTGGCGACCCTACTCCTTGTCATGTTCAACCGGGGAATGGAAACCATGCCAGTTGACTCAATGACAGACCTTATGATACAGCGTGCACATGCTAACCATTCACCCATCCAAGCCCCTGATGCATTATGTAAGAACTAATTTGGCTCATTGCAGGTCTTCATTTCGGCTTTAAATGTTATACATGTATAAAATATTATATAGACATTTATACACATTACAAGCCTATAATCTACTCTCTAGATCATCATTGGATGGCAGAGATTTAAACAGATTGAAACATGATTGCCATTTAATGATTTAATTTAAAAATGGTGAATCAAGGCTGAATCTTGAATAACAAGTAACGTTGCTACAATAACAAACAATCTATGCTACATCCAGGTGCGGATCCAGTTTGAAGTGGCGAACAATTTGTGGGAAAGGAGTACAAAAATACTTAAAAATGGTAGTGATCCCCATCGTAATTTACTCCGAAACGAGCCGGTTGGTGACTTGGTTGATTGCCTGTCAGTCCGCCCACCGAGGGCCGGCTTCGCACTCCCAAGTAAGGGCAGCACCCCCACCCACCCCTTTCTGAAAATTCTGGATCCGCCCCCGACACCTTGTCAAAACTTAGCTCAGAAAAGTAATTGAATGAAATTTTCAATATATTCATTTTGCATTATCTATCTTTGAAGTACTATAGCAAGAACAGACAGCTCTTCATCTAAATCTTACATAATGTATCTTTAAGTTCTCCTAAAGGTTCCCCACAGGGCTTTTTATTCAGCATGAATTGACTCTTGGCTGTCAATATGATCATGTGAAGAACTTACATGTACTTGCTAGACAATTTACATGCCAAGAGATGAGAAAATGAAATTTCGTTTCGTCATATATGGCCGAGTTACGTAAATTTGTGCGTTAATCTATATTTAGATTTCAATGGTTTCTGCCAAGCTGTTTAGCAAAAGGGAACATATTTTTAACAGCATGTTGTGTTGCACAAACTGACTCCAGCGAGGTAAGCAAGGTCTTATTTTTTCACTAAAATATTCCTTTACATTGTTCATGTGTTCACAGAGACTGACACACAAGCGTTTAGCAGTAAAAAGTTGCCCAGTAAAATTGACTGGGGGCCAATACAAGGTTTCAATAGGACGGTTCCTGAACGTACAGGGTGAGTGTAATGAGCTGATCATGAATCACAATACGTATCGTGATTGCATTGGCAATACCCAGCACTACTGGAAAAATCGTTTGGATGTGACAAATAATTTGGTATGTGGCGAGAGAGAGAGCGTTGGAGGATACCGGAGGACCCGGAGAAAACCCACGAGGTGGGACAGGCGACCCTACTCCTTGTGACATACAAACGAATGGAAACCATGCCATTGACTCAATGACAGACCACAGGAATCTGACCTTCTATCCATATATATATGCATACACCATGTCGTACCAGACAATATATAATAAAAAACAATATATATTGTCTGGTACGACATGGTGTATGCATATATATACGGATCGAAGGTCAGATTCCTGTGGACAGACCTTATCATTATTCATACAGTGTGGTATAGTTACCCAGACCATCCCTGAAAATTTCAAGTCTCTATGACAATGCTTACTGCTACTTACTAGTATATAATACATGTAGGCCTACTACTTAAGTCACAGTGCAATCCCAGATCCTGCAGCTGTACATAATGTTAATTATGTTGATGTGCACGTAAAAGAATCCCTGACAGTGACAGAATTTGAAGTTCGAGTAAAATCTTCTCTGGGTTAAAATTCAAAAATGCAGGACGTTAACAAAGTTAAACCACATTTTATTTCATCATTTCTATTAAAAAAACTAAATTCTTTTTTTTTAGTATGCCTATTTTGCAATAATTTGCAATAGTTAGTCTTTTACTTTTAGTCAAAGACTATTTTAAAACAAAATGTTATATTTCTGATTCAATAATTACGACTCATATTTACAACCCTGGTGTCTAGATTGTTCATTATACTTACGTGTTAATTCCAACCCAGTTTAAAACAGTCACAGATGATATACAATTTGAATACCTTTCACATTACTGATACGATTTTATACGACAACTTGTTTGTTACTAAAACGGGAACTACTAAAAATAGACATAACTCATTTCCTGTTTGTGTAGTCTTGATCTGACAAGTCTCAATATAACGGTAAAGCAAGAAAAAGGCGATTGGCGTGAAAAATCGGACTGGAAATGGGATGTCTAAAATTCTCTCCAAATAAAAGGACCCTTTTCATCCCATTTCCAGATTGTAAAAATTTTGTTTTTCAGAGAGGTAATGCGAAGGCTTTCTTCTTAGGGTTATGGACATAATGTTCCTAAATCATAACGGCCAAAACATTTTGGTCAAAACACGTCAAATTTGGTCGTAATTAAACGGCCAAAAAATGGTCGTAACCGCCAAAAAGTTATTTCGTTGTAACCGCCAAAAATTATGTTTCAAATAATATTTATTATTTTATTAATATAAATATAGAATATATAAACATTAATTTAAAACATAAATTTATAAAATCAATTTAGGTCGTTATGGCTTTGAGCCGTTATGACCACATCCCTCTTCTTATAACTGTGTTATTGGTGGTTTTTTTTTGGGTTTTTTTTTTGGGGGGGGGGGGTGTTTTTTTTTTTTTTAATATACTTTATTTGCAAATATATACATATAAGTATAATTGTTACAAAGGGGGTGAGCACAAATTATAAGATAACTCTGTATAATATGCATTCTACGTGTGACGTCACTTCACTTGGCGTCGATCATTGGCTCGGTAGCTCGTGCAATATTTACACAACGCGAACTGGTTTTGGTTAACATAATATTGTAAATTTATATGGTTGTGTAATTAATTAATAATAAACAACCATCGCAGCTTTGTGGAAAATTCGTTTTAGTAATGATTGATTCATTCTGAAAATTCGGGTCACAAACTGCGATGGGCCTCCTATGCCTATGACTTAATCCACGGTAGTCCGCTCAAAAATCAACGATATAATAATAACCTCCCGGTTGGATCGATTCAAAAAATGGTAAGCTTAGAATATAAATAGTAGTTATAGTGTAAAAAGTAGTTATAATACAAATAGTAGTTATAGTGTATCAGGGGCGTACATGTGGGGGGGGGGGGGGGTAGTCGGTCGCAAAATCAGTGCAGTCGGTCGCAAAATAAGAGCAGTCGGTATCAAAATAAGTGCTCACTGCACACGTCACGCTACTCACGCAAAACTTTAGTATAAAATAACCTTGTCAACTTATCATGTTGGAAAAATGATGTGTTTCACTCTTATTCTGTTGTATTGTGAGTATGTAGGTCAAAGAACAAAATTTCCCCCAGGGAGAAAAAAAGTCGGTCTCAAAATAAGTGAATTAATGAGGTAAATAAATAATGCCAGAATAGATCCCAAATACTAGTCGGTCGCCAAATCAGTGCAGTCGGTCGTAAGATATGAGCAGTCGGTATCAAAATAAGTGCTCACTGCACATGTCACTCTACTCACGCAAAACTTTAGTATAAAATAACCCTGTCGACTTATCATGTTTGAAAAAAATGTTTTTCACCCCATGGCAAAAAAATAGTCGGTCTAAAAAAAAAGTGCTCACCGCAGTCTTTCTCAGACTAAATGAATTAATGGGGTGTTTTCTGACCAATTAGAATTCTGCAAAATCTCTCCCCAAAGTCCAGGGCATTTCAGAGACCAAGTAAGCGCCCCATTGAGGTAAAGAGCCGTCAGGCCCAGTCCTCAAAAAATAAAAGCTCAGTTACATATCGGCGCTCAATTCCGTTATGCCATCATTCTTCAACTCCTTCTCTGTCTTATACTATATATCTCATCACTATCATATTCAGTGAATCGCCCAGTTAGTAGTACCACTATAGTGAGTGAGTCGTGGGTCAAAAGACTGTAGAATTGTTAGTTCTACTCTCACAAAACAGGCGACATTGACAGAAAGGCCTCAAGATTCTGTCCCATTTCTTATCCTCTCCTTAACGAGAATTTGGATCCATTTGCCATGACATTGACTAAAATTGTCAGGCCCAGTCCCAAAAATTAAAAGCTCGGTTACACATCTGAAATTTTTTCGCGACTGCGGCGCTCGATTCCATTATAACATCATTCTTCCACTCCTCTGTTGTCTTATACTGTCTCAGCACTTTCATATTCACGGTTATACTGAACTGCCTAGTTATGTTAGTAGTACCACTGGCACTGGTGTGTGGGTCGTGGGGCGCCAGACTATACAAAAGTTCTGTCAACTCTTGCAAAACAGGCGGAATTGCCAGGGGCAGATCTCGAGATTTTGTCTAATTGACTCACATTTCTGGTCCTTTCGTGCACAAAAATTTCTCCCAGCAATGACCTCAAATACCAAGATATTGACTCAATTTTTCAAAATTTTCTAATGTTGCTCAGTGTTATAGGCACAATCATGTATGACATAAACTTTATGTCAACTTAAATAAAACTGCTTTCCAGCGAGACAACGATCGGCAAACAACTATATAATTATACAATACCATCTATGTTCTACCGTCGGACGCTTAATGTTATAGGTGGGATTGTGGCTGGGGTGGCGCCCTAGATTTGGACCCCGCACCCCTATCTAGATCCGCTACTGCACATGGCCCCTACAAAACTCGCACCTGTGGTGCTCGGCTTCTGACTGCGTCACTTGTACTAGGGGTAAAGGCATCAATCGGTCGCATTTTGGCTAAACACCCCCCCCCCCCCAAACAAAATCGTTATGTACGCCCCTGAGTGTAATCAGTAGTTATAGTGTAAGTAGTAGTTATAGTGTAAACAGTGGTTATAATATAAATAGTAATTATAGAGTAAACAATAGTTATAATATAAATAGTAGTTATGGTGTAATTAGTAGTTATAGTGTAAACAGTGGTTATAATATAAATAGTAATTATAAAGTAAACAATAGTTATAATATAAATAGTAGTTATGGTGTAATTAGTAGTTATAGTGTAAACAGTGGTTATAATATAAAAAGTAGTTATAACGTAAACAGTAGTTATAGCACAAACAGAAGCTATAATATAAATAGTAGTTATAGTAGTTATAATTTAAACAGTAGCTATAATATAGATAGTAGTTATAGTGTAAACAGTAGTTATAATATAAATAGTAGTTATAGTGTAAACCGTAGTAAACACAAGTTATAATATACATAGTTATAGTTATAATGATAACCCAGCACATATTGAAGCGCGAACAACGCGTAATTGTATAATCACATCACATAATAATATCTGTACATCACGTTATGAAATGAAATGAAATGGGATTTAACGTCCTACTGTTCTGTCATCACTTTATGACATATGCACACCATGTAATGTCAAAATCACATCACGTTATGACATGCACAACAGGTAATGATAAAATTGCCAATTGTAAAGAAATAACTACAGCACGTAATGACAAAATCACCACATGTAATGAAAAAAAAACAACCCTATAATCATCCAAAATATTATGCATTGACGCTTTTGGTGCAGTAATGCATGAGGCTGGAGTCCACAATTCATTGCAGAAACCGACAAACTGTCTCTGCCAACACCGAGATTGAACCCGAGTAAACACATGGCTTCTGAACGGAACGAAAAAAAAAGTACACGAAAGGCATTTAATTTAGTCTTTATTCTTCCTAGTTTAGATGATATTTTTTTTCCCAAATAATTTGTTTTTAAAGCAATAATTGCATTTTTTAAAGTCATGTTTAAAACATGTTAAAATAAAACTTTAAGATACATGGCCAATCTATACACACAGTCCTATCTTGTTAAAAAATAATCCCGAATTCTATAATTCACTTGTGTCAGTTGAGAAATTGGCAAATACATCATTTTCTTTTAAAACCCAATGTAGCTTTTTAATAAATTGTTATCAAGTGTGCCGGTTTCCAAAGTCTCACTCAACCAGGCATATTTTTCCTTATTCTGTTTAATCACGGATCTTGACAACCTAGACAGCTCACTATTCCATATTGTAGACTTAGTTTTCTAGTGAGAAGAAATGATACAATTGCCAAATACCGATGGCGAGTAGAAATTATTTCAAATTTTTAAGTGGATGAATTTTAAGTGCTAAAATGATTCCTATGATTTTATAGTAGTGATTAGACAACTTATCAAGTAATAGATATAGAAATAATTATGTTTTGACGTTCTTAGAAAATATGCAATTATCACTTTAATCAAATACTACAGCCTGTCCTGGAATGGACCCAAACCGCTGATCAATTCCAACTTGTTTAAAATTACGCTAACATAAAACTTATAAAGCTTCCTTGTATTGGTATGCCTCTTCATTCATTCAATCTTGTGCTCTCTCTCTCTCTCTCTCTCTCTCTCAAAGATGATGTTTAAATAAAAACTCGACTTTACTCCTTCGTTCACACAGTTTAAGTTTAAAACGATGTGAATTATTTTAAGTCTCCTCCCCTCAATGTGTCTACCACACGACTATTTTGTACAAATCATTACAATGTCGGCACCTTAATAATATAGGGAGATGCTAATTGTAGGCGGGTTGGGGACGTTCTGGAATTTCTAGAGTCCACAATGGCCGCTTTAAATAAATGAGTATTTCGGGGAATACACAGTTAAAAATAATACGGAAGTTTACACCAATTCGGGTGGCAACTAGTTGCCACCTAAATAGGGGTAACTCCTAGCCTTTAGTGGTGTAAACCGATAACACCCAACTAGTGTAGAACATTACACCAATTCAGGTGTAAACTAGTTGCCACTTCCAGTAGTGTAATCTGCCTGATGCACTCAGACAGCGTAATGTTACATAGTTTACACCGTGGGTGTAGATTAAGCATTATCCCCTCAAGGATGGTTTGTAAATTACATTTCCATTTTAATTATTACACCAACACGGGTGTAATTTGTTTTGTTGGATATTTATTTCAAGCCAACGACCTCTAAGTTCAGAAAACTTGAAATTGGCTATCGGTCTACATGATAATTAGTATAGGGCGTTTAGCCCGACCCAGATTACATTTAGACCGTCGGCTACTGTGTTTTATTTTACAATGACATTAAATTAACAAATACCCATC